TTGTACAAAGATCTGAGCAATAGACTATCATTAAGTGCTAAAAAGAAATAAGCTATCAAAAAAAAAAAAAAAAAAAGAAATAAGCAATCAAAGCAAGATGGCTCCCTGGGTAAAGAAATCTGTCAATAAACCTGACAACCCAAGTTCAATCCCAAGGACCCACATGGTAGGCATAAAAGACCAAAGTGTCCTTTAACTTATACACACACAGAGAGACACAGAGACACATACATACCACAGAGAGAGAGAGGCACAGACACACACAAACACATAGAGACACAGAGATACACCACACATGCACACACCACACACACACCAAAGAAAGAAAATAGAAAGAAAGAAGAAAAGAAAGACATAGAGAAACGTTAAATGTGTAACAGGGGCATGACAGAGCAAAGGAGGCAGAAATCTCAAAAGGCTGCACGCACTTGCGTGATTCCAACCACACGACATTCTAGAAAAGGCACAACCATGAAGACAATAAAAATCACAAATAACAGGTGGGCAGGGGTTAGGAGAAGAGAGGAGCTAAGAGCCAGAGCACAGCATTTTGGGGACAGTGAAACTGTCGCGCCATACCAAGATGAAAGCCAGGCACTGTATGTTTGAACACACCGCTGCACGTGTAACGCCAAGAGGGACGCAGTGAAAACCGTGGTCTCGAAGTGACTGATCAAGGTGTGTTCACTGCAGCAGTTGCAGCCCTCAGTTTGCAGGGGTGGGGTGATAGTGGCTGGGAAGGAAGCAATCTTGGAATTCTCTGTAACTTCTGCTCCATTTTGTTGTGAAGATTAAAAACTTTTTTTCAAAAGTCCCAACTATATTTTGCTATTAACTATATTGACAATTGAACCTAGACAAACTCAAGAGAGAAGAACAGAGGCTTGGCCATGTTTTCACTCACATCTCTCCGGCATACAAAGTGATACAAATGTGTGTGTTTTGGGTGAAGGTTTGGCTTTTGAAAGAAAAAAGGAGCTACTTACAATTACAGTAATATAGAAGTATTAATTTCATGTATGTCCAACTCCTATAAGCAGGGGATATTCTAGTCAATAGGAAAAAAAACCCACTAAGATAAACAAGTAAAGTTTGCCTTCAGATGAAAGCCTCAGGAGACCAGAAAATGTGTTCAAATTCTCTAAAAATAAACATTCCTTAGAGAGAGAGAGAGGGACCATGTGTTTGGATCCATGGGTTGGTTTGAAATGGACATACCAAAGATCCACACTGATGGAACATTCCTTTGCTGTATCTCTTTGTATTCATAGGACTGGAGAATTACCCACAAAGAAGGCTTAAATAAGACTAAGTTATTATTCCCACCATATTGAATTCAAGGTGTTTTGATTTGAACCCATGCTCCATCATGACTGAATCTGGAGAGAAGGTCTTCAGGAGGTTAAGAGGTGGTAAGACTTTCGGAGCAGGGCATCAGTCTGATATGCCTGTGACCTCAAAGAGGAAGAGGGCTGGAGAGATGGCTCAGCAGGTAAGAGCACTTAGTGCTCTTGCAGAGGTCCTGGGTTCAGTTTCCAGCACCCACATAGCCCACAGCCATGTGTAACTCCAGTTCTAGGGGATCTGATGACCTCTTTTGGCCTCTGAGGGCACCTGCATACTGTGGTACAAATACATCATGCAGGCAAAGCACCCAAACACATAAAATAATATTTTTAAAAAGAGATATCTTTCTCCCTTTCATTCGTTTCCCATCCCTTCCCCTTCCCTCCCCTTTCCTTTCCTTCTCCCACTCTTATTCATTTTTCACCCCATGTAAGGACACAGAACTGGCTGGCTGGCTAGTTACAAGCCAGAAAGACAGGCCTCAGCAAACACTAAATCAGCCAGCACCTCGGTCTTACACCTCCAGCTTCCAAACTGAGAGCAAAGAAATGTCTGATAGCTCAGCCCCTCAGTCTATACGGTATTGCATTGTAGGTAGCAGATTAAACTAACTTGGTCATTGGTCGATTTCCTTTTGGGAAGCAGCCTATGAAGACCTATGAAGAAGCCATGATAAAACTGATTGTTAAATGTGCTAACCTAAAACGCTAATTTTCAGAAAGACAATACCCTGGTGAATGCAGATTAAATTAAACAAATAGCAGAGCTTTGTTCCAGTTCTAGTTCATCAAAATTAGTTGATATAACAGTGTCATTTATCCAATAGCTAAAAAAAGAAAAGGAAAAAGAAAGCACTCTGTGAAGACAATTGTAAGCTGCATGGCTCTGTCTCCCTACTTCACAACCTTTCTAACATTAATCAGGCTGTCTTATTTGACATGCATGTAGTTCAGCAGGATCATAAGCCCTGAGACCAGCAGGGACCATCAAGATGTTCTAGTCTGGGGATTTCTGGTGCATTGTGAAGACCTCTCAGGACCTGCCATGTGGAAGGCCAAATTCTTTTCTGAGCACCAACTGGGGTACAAGCACAGTGTCTGGAGACTTGGCCATGAAGGACATGAAGGGTTCAAGTTTCTGTCTTCTGAAGTTTGTGTTCTAATACAGAGATCCAGAGAATAAGCAAGTAAAAGAATAGATAGCCAGGATCACTTCATCACTCCTTGAATAATTACATTACTCCCTGAAAGAAATACGAAGGCTAAGTGGGGAGTGGAAGTCCAGGATGGTCAGGCAGACCTCTTGAGGAAGTACTATCATGGGAAGAAAGACTGACTTGGAGCAGCAAGTTCAAAGGTGCGAAGACATGACAAGTGGCCTGGCAAAAAGAGTGTGGGACACTGGGAGCACAGAGAGCTAGGAGAGTGACGTGGAGATTGAAAGCAGAGAAGAGCCAGGCCTTGCAAGGCCGCAAATGTCTTGGGGGAGAATGTGGACTGTGGTCTAATTGCAAAGGGTGGCACTGAAGAATGAATTCTAAGCAGGGGAATCTGAGATCTGGGCTGATTTGGTTGGCATAAAGGATGAGTCCAAAGGAAGCAGGGCTAGAAGCTGAAGACCTCTGAGGAGGTTTTGCAGAAATGCTGGGGAGCGGGGAGGAGGAAGAAAGGTACACTTAGGAGAAATGGCCAATCTTGGTGATAAATTGGGTAAACCCCGTCTGATGCAGAAAGAAGCTTCGTTGATGAGGGGTGAGAGCTACACTTACCTATGGAGATAAGGGTAAGTCCTGAGAACACAGTGAGATTATACTGTTTTAGAGAACTGCAGCGTTAGGTTCTCCAGATTCCACAGCCTCATCAGCCAGAGGTAACTGGCTAATTTTACAGTACCAGGCATGAAATCTTTTCTATCGAGCAGGCTTCAAGTCCAATTAGATTATCCCCAGGATATAAGTTCCATTATTGCACCTCTTGCCATGCTGGTAACTGTTGGGTCCATTAGATAACCTACTACTTGTTTTCCATTGGCAACCTGTTATCTAAAAAAGGGGGTACCAAGTAAGCTCCTATTCCTCAATGATCAGAACCTAATGTAAAATTTTGCGTGATAATTATTTTTTTTATCAGATGTGACAGTTTCTCCTTTTATTCTCAGCACAGCAGAGGCAGAAGCAGGCAGATCTTTGAATTCAAGCCCAGCCTGGTTTACAGTGAGTTACTGGTTAGCCAGAGATACATAGCGAGAGCCTTTCTCAAAAAAAAAAAAAGGAAACTTTTTTTCCCCAGAGTCAAGGCAGTATTTTATTTGGTTCCTGTTTTAAGATGTTATGAGAACTTTATAATTCACATATAAAATAGGTGATGCTTGATTTATATTAAGTAAATAGTTGTTCTTCATCCTTGGTTTTGTTTCTTGGCTCTCAAAATCCCTAAGCTCTCCAGCACTGATGAGTATGTGGACTGTGGTTTCTGATAAACAACTGTCAGCCGTGGAGGTGTCTCTTCAGAGATATGACTGAAGGCCAGTGACTTTAACTAGCTATAGGAAAGAGGCTGAACACCAAAACCGAAGACAAGATTAGTGGTAGGATTTGAACTCCGCCTCCTAATCTTCCAGGGAAGGAAGAGGCAGAAGAGTGAAGCGATCACTAATGACCAAGGAGGAATTAGCATCATGCCTATTAATGAAGTCTGCAAAAAGCAGTTTAGGTGAAGCTGGGGGAGTGCCTGGAGGAAAATCCATGGGGAAGCTCCCCTGAAACACCTCACCCTGTGCACCTCCGGCTGGCTACTCACCTGGACCCTTTTTAATGGGTAAAAATAAGTGATTGTGAGTCCTGTGAGTCACTCAGCACATTAATCATCCCCAAGGATGCAGTCAAATTGGGAGCACCAGTGTTACTTTTCTTACGAATGTGATCAAACACCTGACAAGAAGTGGCTGGAGAGAGGTTTGATTTGTGGTTGGAGGGATGGGCCGTCACAGTGAAGAATAGGCAGCTGCATGGTGACAGAAGCTCACGCTGGTTCCTCGCCTGTCTCCACCGAGCAGGAAGCTGACAGGAGGAAAGGCCTGCTGCTCAGTCGGCTTTCCTCTCTCCCTCCGCTTAGTTAAGGCAACTCTTACTCCTCAGCTAATGTTTTCTGAAAATGCCCTCAAAGTGTCTCTCTCTAATGTTAGAGGCATAATGTAATCCTCCAAATTAACCATTACACCCAATTTGCAGATAAAATATACCACACAACCTGGGTCTGCAGGGCTAGCTGTCTTGTGGAACTAAGATCCCCTGTGGATCTGCCTCACTCCTGGAAGACAGTCATCCATTACAGAACATGCAACTAGTTATCCTGAAGAGAGTCATCAATCAGTGACCAAACCCTGAGAATCTGGAGAACCTGGCAGAGTGTGGAGGGGTTTAGGAGCAGGATAAACAGTTTATTCCTATATCCCTAAAACTATTTACTACCCATTATGTAATTAAATCTGTTATTAGAGAATTAACATGACTTCTGGGCTTTAAGAGTAAAATTTCAAAAAAAAAATGTAAAATTTCAATTGCCTCTTATTTATTAATCCTCTTGCAGAAAGCAACAGAAAAACAGCATGATAGGGTTGTTAATGTTCCAACACATACGCACCACATAGACCTCTTGATAGTTGACAGATTGTCTTTATTAACAATCAACACCACTTTGCACTTACAATAGGAAAATAAACACTTCTTTGATCAATATTTAAGCGAAAACTACCCAGGACCTTACAGACTTTTCAGCAGGTGCTAGACATGATGTTCAGAAGACAAATGCTAGCTTCCTGGGATCAGCAGGATATGCTTTGCTGTGACTTATTTAAAAACGTACCTAACAGTGTTCCTGAAAGCAGTTTAACTGAATTACAACAGGAAAAAAAAAAAAAAAGCCAGTATTTATACCTAGTTTTCACTATGACACCACACACAATACATATCAGTCCTGACTATATGGCTTCAATACTTTTTATAAAGGTGCTTAACAGAAATTCGGATCTCACTTTAGACCAAGAATTTCAGAATGCAATAAGGCAATTTCTTAACTCCAAAGTTTAATTAATGCACAATAGTTCAAGCAGCAGATACTACCTCAAAGGAAAGAGCTTCCTTGTTTCTCTCCAGTATGTGCTGGTGCCTGTCGGTTCAACCATGACTGGAACAACACGCTGCTGATCTTGTTGCACACACTCACACACACTCACACACACTTAACACATATCTCTTCCCAGTCTAAGCCTCATTTTACACTGGATCATTTTAGTTTGTAAATTCTCCCGGTCTCTTAAAAATCTATGCATCGGGAGACTTTAACCGAATGAACACGGTGCCATTCCTCATTCTTGACAACAGAAAGCCATAGCAAAAATAGAGCCTCATAGAAATTTCACCATTGAATTTTTTTTAATCTGAAAGCTTAGTATGAGTCAAAGTTTTATAAAGTCAGTAGTCTCTGCAAATCTTTGTTAGTTCAAGAAAACTCTGATCTTAAGACTTGTTTTCCAAAGTCTATCCATCTAAGTCCCACTTTCCTAAAAAGTCTGTTTAAAAGCGTTCACTGCCTTGTAAACAAAGTGGAACCATGTGACTCTCCTTTGCTCAGTCCTGTCACTGTCCCATACAACTGGCTGCTACTCAGTCTTCTGAGTCCCTCCACACACAAGTATAAACATACAAAAGGAGCCACCAGGACCGATCAGCACTGACGTTGAAAACACCTGATGAGCTTCTGTTATAAAGTGTTATAAAGTGCTTTGAATTTAAGTTTGGTTTTGTTTTTTAAACTTCAGTCTTCAATACTGAAACTTCTAAGTCACTCCATTTTTCCATTTAAAAAAAAAAAAAAGGAAAACATACTTGAGGGGAGGATTAAAAAAAACTTGGAATAAATTACAAGATAGATTTAAGAAAAAAAAAAAAAAAAATCCAGGGGCTGGAGAGGTGGCTCAGTGGTTAAGTGCTTATTGCTCTTGCAGGTGACCCCAGTCCAAGTCCCCCCCACATCAGGTGGCTTCGGCCACCTGTAACTACCTCAGCTCTGAGAGATCCAACAATATCTGCTGTCTTCCATGGGCACCTACCTGCATTCCTATGACAGACACACATAATTGCAAATAAAATGAACCTTAAAAAAGACTCCAGGCAGTAAGAAGTACTTCGAATGCATGGGGTTGCTGACACAGCCTTTTTGGTAATAAACAACAATTAAGCACAAATGAACTACCCAGTAATGGAACTATAAATGGCATGTCCATTGATAAAAACATTGCCTAGTCATTAAAGATAGTTAGGAAGATGCTGAAACAAAATATGAAAGGCAAATTCACAAGGGCCCCTGTGGCACTTCCACAGGGCACAACTCCACACACAACCCTGCACAGGAACAATCAGAAACACTGTGTCATCTTGTCAGGGAAAGCCCCTCCCTTTACGGAAGAACATAATATAAAGCCCCTCTGGTAGCTATAAAATTTTGAAACTATAGATAAAATAAAAATAAATGTCTCTGAAAACTAATGTTCTGAAGACACCCTTCTAACTTCACTCAGAAATCCATTTGCCTCTACTGAGAAATGTGCCATCTGGCCCAGGGTCCAGTTCTCCAGAGATACACAATTAAGGGTGCTAGGTGGCTTCCCAGAATGCCCTGTAGCCCAGTCCCCATGGTTGACATCATCAGGCGGGCCCTAATAGTCCACGTTGAACACTTCATACAATTGGTTTTTAAAGACAATATTAAATGTTTTTCCATCTCTGCCTATAGAAAAACCCAGAGGCACAATTAGACTCATCTTATAATAAAACAGTTCTCATTCAGTAACCAAGCTATGGGTTCTGTTGATTTGTTTTCAGTACTGAAGTAGAACCCAGGGCTTTGCACACTAAGGCTCTACCACTGAACTTCATCCTTAGCCTCAAGTTACAGATTTCAAATAAAAAAAATTGTGTTTCTCATGCAAAACTGTGACCACAAATAAAGACCACTAGGTGATATCTACTAAGCAAAGGATTACTTACCAAAAATAGCAATTTTTAATAGAAAATGAACTATTTTATTGTTTAACAACTCGAGGTGGGGGAACAACTCAATTTTTTTTCTAACTGCAGTAGAATAGGATTAGACTCTCCTGTAGGCCCCCAAAACATTGAGATAGAATATTTTTGGTGGTCTTACAATGACAGTTAGGGTATCCTAGCAATTCAAGGCTCAAATGAAAATGTTCAATCAAGAATAATTCACACAGAATATGCACTGTTCTCAAACAGTTGCCTAATTGTAAGTTTAATTAAAAATAAGAAAGTATCTTAACATTCTAGTCATCAGCTATGTGGATATACATCAATAAATGGTAACAACACCGCAGTCACAGTAACCGCAGCACTCTATACTACTACAAAAATAGCCATCAAGGGCCTGATATACTCAGTATGGTGATGAGGCTTTACTTCTTGCAAGCTGTGTATCTTTCAGTGACATTCTCCCAGTTGATTACATTCCAAATAGCTTTCAGGTAATCGGGTCTGACGTTTTTATACTGAAGGTAATAGGCGTGTTCCCACACATCAATCCCCAGCAGGGGAATAAGGCCTATCAGAAAGAGGGGGAAAAATTACTCTTTAATATGGCATCATTCACTTGTTTCTTATGTAACAGAAAATATGCATATTTCTATAAAAACATTAAAAAATTTTATTTTGGAGGAAAATAAAATAAATAACATAAAACAGCCCCTAAAAAGTCAGTTAAACTTCAGAATCTTAATACCTGTTCCTAAAATAGCAACAGAAGCTTCTACTCTTGAACCCCAGTCTTCCTCACAGTGTCAGTCAGGAGCCACAGTCTCCACTAAGGCCCTGAGATTTACTTTCGGGGGCTGGAGGAAAGAAGGCAGAGAACCTGTTCTACTCTCCAAGGGTAATTTTAGTTTTCTGGAATAAACATCAATCATGAGTCACTGAAAAGAGTAACAAGAAACTAAATAGGACCAAAAAAAAAAATGAAGACTACCTTCAGAAATCAAATGGTATAAATGAAGAGCTTAGCTCAAGCCAGGTATGGTAACACAAGTCTGTGTTCCCAACACACAGGAGGCTGAGGCACAAAGCAAGACTCTGTCTCAAAGCACATTTCTCAAGCCTTCCTATGAAAACACCTCAACCAGTTTATCTGGATCACTTGTGAGGAACAGAACGCATTACTAATAAAGTAGCAATATTCTGAGTGACTTTTTATTCCAAAAGATAACTTTTTGGAATTTTTATTCTAAAATCTTCTCATTTTAAATGACTTCTTAAATTTAGTTATTTATTTTACATCAGTGCTCTATCTGCATGTACACCTGCACGCCAGAAGAGGGCATTAGATTCCAGTATAGATGGTTGTGAGCCACCATGTTGTTGCTGGGAATTGAACTCAGGACCTCTGGAAGAGCAGACAGTGCTCTTAAGTGCTAAGCCATCTCTCCAGCCCCCACCACAATGCACTTGCTGTGTGTGGAAGGAAACCACAACCTGAGTGGGTACCTGAGAAGCAGGCCTGACTGAGGAACTCACTGTATGCAAGTTTACCATGACATTAACAGATCCTATGGAATCTCACCTCCCCAAAAGGACCGTCTATGTTCCGTAAATCCGACAACATGTGGAGAAGTGAGACGTGGGCAGAGGTGGAAAGAGGAGCAGAGAGCTACTGTTTAAGGCATCACATCAGAGCCACAGCCTACTGCTACACAGTGCTCCACTTAGCTCATTCTTCAGTGACATTTTATAGTCAATTAGATCCAGGGAAAAGAGCTGGGGGTTTCACACACTGAAGCCCTGCAGAAAAGCAGGACTGCAGGACCTGCTTCTGGTCCCAGTCCTACCACAGTGCTACCCAGAGTGGAGCACATGATCCAGTCAGGCTCAGCTTGTACTTTCTTCCCTCTTACTGCTCATCTAATTTTAGGTTCTTATTGTACTGCATATGACAATTAAAACTGACGTTAATTTTCCATAGAATGAAACAAAATTTATAATTCATAAAAAAAAAAAAAAGCTTCTTACTAAGAAGTCTACAGAAATCACACATGCTTATTTTATAGACTATCAATCAGTTGTTTGTTTTTTTTTATTGTTGTTGTTGTTGTTTTTGGTTCTTCCTGACAGGGCTTCTCAGTGTAGCCCTGGCAGTCCTGGACTCAATTTCTAGATCAGGCTAGACTCTAACTTACAGAGATCTGCCTGCCTCTGCCTCTGCCTCCCGAGCATCGGGATCAAAGGGGCCTGCGCTACCATGCTCACCAATCAGTTTTTATCTTGAAGACTCTGGGTACAATTTATTAACAGTTGACCAAATTATCACGCCTTTAAACTCTGCTAATTTGCATTATTTCTAGCTTAATCCATTCTAGGAAATAGGACCTTAGAAATGGAAAGATTAAGAGTTTTTAAAGCTCACCTGTTGTTCCTTGCAATGGATCCTGATTAGCGCAGGCAGCAATCTGTAAGCGACCCTGCTCCTTATTGAAGCCAAGCCAGCCCCAGCCTGAACCTTGAATTCCAACAGTCACAGCTGTCAGCTTCTCCTTAAACTTCTCAAAAGACCCAAAGTCACGTTTGATAGCCTCCAGCAACTCTCCTGAAGGAAAAAAAAAACAAACCAGAAAAAGACTTCAAAAACTACAAAAGGGTTATGTTCAATACACTAAAATATTCTTGTCACAGGACCAAGTAAACAACATCAGTGAGAAGATACAAACAACCCAGGGAACCTAAGTATCACCAGCACTCCTCCTGGCGGGCACCAGACGCTGGGCTGAATTTCCATTCGAATTGTTTTTAATGAAGGCTGATTAATGCAGTTAGGGATTTCTTCAACCCCTGTGCTATTTTCACCAGGAAAGTAAGAACATTTTCTACTGGCTTTCTTCTGGTTGGTTTTGCCCATTTAATAATTTTGACCTCCCCCATGTGGAAATTGAAAGTTACTGCTGTTATTCAAAGCTCTCCAAGCCTAGGTCGTCCCATCTTTTTTTTAATTATTTATTTTTATTTTATGTACACTGGTGTTTTGATTGCATGTATGTTTGTGTGAGGGTGTCAGATCCCCTGGAACAGGAGTTACAGACAGTTGTGAATTGCCATGTGGGTGCTGGGAATTGAACCTTAGTCCTCCGAAAGAGCAGCCAATACTGTTAACCACTGGGCCATCTCTCCAGCCCGATCTTCCCATCTTTATCATAGTATTTTTTAAATGAATGCTTTTCTTTTGTTACTGAGCTAATATTTCACTATAGGACTGGAGCATAGCTCAATGCACAAATGTGACTGCTATTCAGGAAGCTCTGCAACTGATCCCAATAAAGTAAAGGAAAGAGAGAAAGAGAGGGGGCAGAAAGAAAGGGGGGAGGGAGCAGCATATTGCTCTAGATGGCTCAGAGAGCAACAGCACTTGCCCTGCAAACCTGATAATGTAGGAAAAGAAAACCATCTCCACACATAGATATACACACAATAATAAGAAAATAAACTTTGGCCAGGCAGTGGTGGTGCATGCCTTTAATCCCAGCACTCAGGAGGCAGAGGCAGGCAGATCTCTGTAGGTTCTAGGACAGCCTGGTCTACACAGCAAGTTCCAGAACAGTTACGGTGGCTACACAGAGAAACTCTGTCTCAAAAACCAAATAAATAAACAAACAAACAAGCAAACAAACACACTTCAGGGGTTAGAGAGATTTCTCAGGCGTTAAAAGCATTGGTTACTCTTCCGGTTACATTGAACATGTGTGTATGTTCAATTCCCCATACACACATGGCAGCTCACAACTGTCTGTAACTCGAGTTCCAGGGGATCTGACACCCTCAAAAAGATATACATGCAGGCAAAACACCGATGTACATAGAATAAAAATAAATCGTTTTTCAAAAATAAATAAACTTTTAGCCATGTATGGTGAGTTAGTCCTAGTCTACATATGGAGTTCCAGCTCAAAGTACTTAGGGAGACATTGTCTCAAAAAAAAAAAAAAAAAAAAACCTAATAAATTTCTAAACACTGTCTACATATTGAGTTTCAGGCCAGCAAGAACTACACAGTAAAAATCTGTCTTTTAAAGAAGAAAAAAAAAAAAAAATTAAAAGGAGAAAATAAATCAGCCATCATTCCTAATATACACCAGATATAAAGCTGCAGCAGTATATACCAACCTTTGGGTTCTCCACCACCATTAGGGCTCAAGTTCGTCCAGAATATGGAGTGATTAATATGTCCCCCGCCATTGAACCTCAGTGCTGGCTGAAGAGCAACCTGAGCCGTAACATCTCCTGAAATATAAAATGTAAGCACCTTTTAGAAATTCTTCCTCTCCGGCTGGAGAGATGGCTCAGAGGTTAAGAATACTCACTGTTCTTCCAAAGGTCCTGAGTTCAATTCCCAGCAACCATCTATAGTAAGATGTGGTGTGAATGCAGAATGTTGTATAAATAATAAATAAATCTTTAAAAAGAAAAAGAAGAAATTCTTCCTCTCTAAGCCTGCAGTAGAGTAAGTACCACAATCAGGCATTACGACACACCAAAGCTTTTGCTGTTGTTGTTTTCAGCAGTACTCATTAAACAAATAAAGACCTAACTCCCCAGGAGTCACTTGGAGGAAAGTTTTCCAGGCATCTGATGTCACCTTCAAAGAAATGTTTTCCCAGCTGGGTTATTCTCCAGCTTCACCATTACCACATCCTTCCCAAATCTGTTATTTTCTAAATCAGTTTCTTCCCGGACTGAAGGTTGGAGTGATTTGCTTATTGCAAGTAAAATTTCCAGAATGTGGCAATTTCCTTCTTTTGATTTGGCCATTTACCTCAAACACAGCCATGTTGAAATACCACACTTCCCCACTAGATGCCTCTAGTCAACCAGATGTCACTGACTAACATTTCAGTCAGCCGATATCCCAGACCAGAGATTCTGTAAAAGTACATTGCAGAAAAAGTGAATTTTACTGTGTGACTTCTCAAGCAGTACAGCTAATTTAGAGACATGACTACCAATTATTTTTCTTGTAAAAACTGATGGATTAAAATGACAACATACAATTTTGTCTAGCCATTTAAACAATATTCCCAGGAGTTATGGTTGGCTCAACAGGTAAAAAAACGAAAAGTTCTTGCCAGGAAAACCTGACAACCTGACTTGAGTTGACAATCTGAGTTCAGTTCTTGGATACCACAATGGAAGCAAAGAACTGACTCTCAAAAGTTATCCTCTGACCTCCACCAGCTCCATGTCTGCATGCTTGCACACACACACAGAGACAGGTTTTTTAATACCACAGCACTCCCATACACATCACTGGAAGTGCAAACAAAGAAGGCCACATACCATGGATTTTGTTGGCTGACCTCAGCTCTTAAAAATATAGGTAAATAAATAAACTTAACTGTTTTTGCATTTAGTGACAGGTACTGTTTCCCACAAAACTGCTATTTTTCTATTTTGACCCCAAAAGTACCAAGTGTAGCAGGTGCTAGCCTGTTCAACGCCTCAGTTAAGCGCTAATTCCTGCATTTTCCTCTCCCACAAGTAAAGGGTGTGAAACAGGGTTTCCACGGTGCAAAGGGCATCTCAGGGGCCAGGGAGTCCAAGTCCTAGACCAAACTAATCCTACTGTTGTTCCAAAACCATGACAATAATCACAACGCGGGTGGCAACCTTCTCATGCCACTTCAGACCCTGTCCTGCACCTGCTGGCAGGCCACCACTGGATCGCTTGCTCTCAGCTAAGTCCCTGCCATCCTGCCACTCAAGGGCACCTGACTGACCAGCCTGGGCACTCTCAAATGGCTGCCAAGACTATGAGAAAAGAAAAAAACAAACTTTTCCAAAGCCATATTATGTAACAACCGCGATTTTAAATATCCATATGCAAAACAAAAAATAAATATTCATTATGCAAAAAAAGGAGTGGCGTCCAGGAGCCGTCTTTAATGGACTCCCAATTTACCACCAACGCCAGCCAGCAACACGGTGACAAAAAAAGACTCACGATAGTAAAACGTTCATCAAGTACTTCTGTGAGGTCCTGGGTTTTCCGGGACACTAAAGGACGTTTATGCAAACCAACCGGGGCAGGCTCCTGCATCAGAACAGACCACCCTCTGGGAAGCGAGCGGGTAGGAAGCGGTGTCCGCACGGGGGCTCCTCCAGTGCAGGGGTCTCGCACCTACCCTTGGCCAGTGCCTCGTGGTACTTCTCCTCGGTGACGTTCAGATTGTTCACGTAGGCCGCGTGGTGCTTGCTGTGGTGCAGCTGCATGATCTGCGCGTTGATGTGCGGCTGCAGCGCGCCATAGTCGTAAGGCAGGTCGGGGAGGCTGTGCTTGTGCCGGGAGCCCGCGACACTGGCCGCAGGGCCCAGCCTCCTGCCCGCGCTGAGGACAGAGAGGACGCCGCGTCAGGCCACCGACAGGGCGACCGGCCACGCCCGCCGCCCGAGAACCACCCCACGGAGGACGCCGCGGCCCGGGTGGCCCCCGCTCACCTGCTCGCCGCCCGACACAGCATCGCTGAGATGCCCTCGGCCTCCGCTCTCCGGACAACTCAACGGTCCGCTCGCAGGCGTGCGTCTGCTGTGCGGCGTCCGAGGCGCCTCCACAAGGACACCTCAGGGCGGCGACCCTGCCGGCCGCTCCCATCAGCGGAGGGGAGGACGGCGACACGAGAGTACCTGGCTCGGGATGAGCGGTTCCCAGAGGAGGCCGTGTCTCCCCCGCGACGACTTGGTAGGGCCCGCGGGCTGGCCTCAGCCACGCCCCCGAGGTGGCCCCGCCCCGCCTTCGGCCTTGGCCCCGCCCCTTCTCGGTGCGCGCTGACCAGCCTTCCTCGTGGGCTGAGTCGCTTCCACTCCTCTGGGAAGCCCCGGAGACGTTCCTCCGGGAAGCCACCGCCTTGCTGCCGGTCAGAACCATGGTGTAATCAGGGCCCCTGACCCGGTTAACGTGTGCCCGCAGTGACCTTCTCTGGGGCCTCCTCCAGGCCAGAGCCAGGACCGCAGCCAGGTGGCTTCATCTCCATGGAATGCCCCGTAACTTCAATTTCGTCGCAGATGTGCGTATGTTCATCTGTTAGCCCTGGGTGTTGCTGAGTCCAGGTACAACCAGCCGAACCTCGCTGTTGACGAGTAAGAGTCGGGATTAGAACTCGGAGTTCATCTTTCCTGACTAAGCCCTGTCTGGACCCTGCAACATCTTGTGCATTTGGTGACTTCAAAAGCCAACTGCTCAGCCGAATGTAAAAGGGACATTTTTTTTTTCCTTTGTAGACTTATAGTCTACTAAACTGTGGCTATCAGATGTTTTCGTAACAATTATACATAGAATTTAAGACAGCCTTCCTCTGCCACTGCTAGGGTTCAGGTCTTCACTGCTTAGAATACTATCAAAGAAAGCAGAAAGCCTGTGGCTGAGTGTTCCCAGTGCTGTTTTGTTTTGTTTTGTTTTGTTTTGTTTTCCACCCCTTCTGCAGCTCTCCCAAGGATGACTGGGCTTGGGATAAGAAACTTGTTCACCAGCCTGAGGAGAAAGTGCCTGTACCCAGGGGTACAGAAGACCCAGGTTGTATTACGGATACCCTTTAAAATTCAAAGAGCCTGGGTCTGAATGGTTGAAAATACAAGTTGTTAGCTGTGGAAAGATAGCTCTGAAGGTGTTCCTGCCCTTGAGGGGCAGGCTAGTCAGTTCCACAAACCTGGACTTAAAAATCTCTGCGTGAATCCAATAATCTCAGTGATATCCTTTTCTGTTGTTGTTGGGTTTGTTTGTTTTAATTTTTTAGGTTAGCATACAAAGTAATAAGTTTTGTTATAGCATTTTCATCTTTATTCCTTTTTTTATTTCACAAATCTTACCCCAGCAGGAATCTAAGTGAAAACTGATTGTCATCTCCAGAGACACAGTCCCAAATGTTGAAGTCTCAAAAGAACCAAATCCCTAAAATGCAAATTTCCTATAGTTACAATTCTAAAAAGTGTAATGATGAAATTCTGAAGCCATAATGGCAAAATTTTCAATTTCCATGTTTTTTTTTAAGCAAGAAAGTTTTCCTAAAACGGGTAGAAACCAAACTCTAAGGAAATTTCTAGTCACAGGATATAGATTGCAACAGCAATTTGCAAATGTGCCACCTGCCCCGACATTCCTTCCAACTGACAGAATTTCCCAGTTTTCACAATGAATCAAAGACACACAGGTAGGGAACACCACATGTGGAGGAGGTCAGACTCCAGGTCCTTAACTGTCACCCACTAGAAGCACACTCTCAATCCCATGTAAGGCCACAATGTTTATAGAGCAGGAACTTGATGTAATCAAGCCCAAGACGAACAGGGTTCAAGCTACACCAATGACAAAAAGAAGGACCTAGCATAACAAGCATCCTAAATAAGCCCTCTACCTTCAGAAACTCTTTTTTTTTTTTAAGATTTATTATTTATACAACATTCTACCTGCACACCAGATCTTACTATAGATGCTTATGCGCCACCATGTGGTTACTGGGAATTGAACTCAGGACCTTTGGAAGAACAGCAAGTGTTCTTAACCACTGAGCCATCTCTCCAGCCATCTCTTCAGAAACTCTTAACTTAAAAATCGTTCCTTCTGGAGGCCACACTGCTGAGTGCCACACTGTCAGTTTCCTGCTAGCTTTGACCCGTGAATCTGAAAACCATCACCTGGGCAACCAGGATGTTTTTTAACAGAGTCTATCCACTTTGTAGGTGACTTAAATGGAGTAAACGGTTCGGCATCCCTATCTTCCTATTGTGTTGACTTTGTCTTAACTTTAGAGTCGGCCTCAGCTCTGGGCTTGTCAGTCGCTTGAGAAATGTTTTGCTGAAGACCATGGCACAGTGTGAGCTTGGCCTGCTGCCCCCTGGAGCAGTTACATGTTTTTTCTGTCCCCACCCTGAGTTTCTCAAATCACAAGCATCTGCTGTCCCTTAGCCTTGCTGTATGGTCCAAAGCAAGCCATGAGGCTTGGGTACTTATGCAAGATGATGATGTCAAGAAAAAATCCACAGTTCCTACTTTAAGCCTCTGCCGGTCACCCTGAAACCTCAAGGCCGGTGTTTGCCCACAAGAAAAACATCTTTTGAAACTGTGCTCATGACTCATGGACAATTACCAAACTATAGTCTCCCCTCACCCACAGCTCAGTTAAGGCTTGCTGCTCTTCATTGAGAGGTCTCCTTTTCTATCACAGCTGTCTCCCTTTGGCTTAGACTGAAATCGGCCAGCTTAGGCTGATGTCTCCAAAAGGGGGAGGGGACTACATCTGTCTTCCCATAAGTAGGATTTGCAACTTGAAGAAACCACCTTCCTCTGCCTCTACGGTGCTTGGAGAACAGGCACGTGCAGTGTGATCTCCATTCTACGGTTTGCACGCCCCGGGATCCTGTCATCTACTATTGATAACTTAAAGAAGCCACCGGAGTCGCTAACAGGCTGCAAAACGATTGTGTAGGTGGTGAAGCCACACAGTGGTGATGCTGCTTAGTCACCAGGGTTGTTTCCTGCAAATCTGGGCTCTGACATGCATGTGAAATGTTCCTCACGCCCAAAAGATGAAACTCAATCCTGTCTTTGCACCCCCTTTTGTATATATGTACATGTTCCTATGGATGTAAACATATGTGTTTATGGGTTCTCATGGAGGCCAGAGATCACTACCAGGTGTCTTCCTAAATCACTCTGTACCTTATTTTTACAGACAGGGTCTCTCAAGCTGGCTACTCATCAGTTCCCCAGGGACCCACCTGTCTCCACCACTACCCTGACAGTGCAGGAGTTATAGCCAGGCACCACCACACCTGCCTTTTATGTGGCCACCGGGAATCTGAACCCGGAACCTCATACTTAACGCAGACACTTTCCTCACATACATGTATACACACATATGTAACACATATGTATGCATACACACACACACACACACATATGCGCATATATGGCTTTAATGTGTAACCCAGTCTGGATGCCTTGAACTCCCAATCCTCCTGCCTTGGCCTTGGCATCCAGAGATGTACCTCCATGCTCGGCTGTCAGACCTGTCTTGCTTGTGCTCAGCCTAAGTTCAGAAACTTGCTCCAACTGCCTCTTTGCACCTTCGCCACTTATGCCTGCCATCACAATTCCATGTCTTTAACTCAAGGCATTCATTTTTTAACCCAGGCCTTGCTAAGGCCTCTTTGTTCTGACCTTGAGCTATTTGTGCCTAGATTGCATTTGCTTCTCAGCTTCAGTGACAACCCAGCCTCCTGTCATTGCCTTTGACTGGCCCCTGACTAACCCTTCCCACCCTTGCAAGGGACCCAAGAAAACAGAACAGAATCAAGGAAGGTTGAAAAGAAGGCTCATCCAGTATTTATTTAGCAGCTCCCTCTAAAAGCTCCCCCGTTAATGACTATGCAGTGTCCCTCTACCTGTTAGGGAAACAAACAGACATACCTCACATTTATTGCTATAATGAAAGCTATTTTGCTTTCATGTAGCCGCCAGGTGGTGCTTCTTCCCAGAGTACAGTGCTCTCCAGAACTTTCAGCATCGTTTCTGTTGAAAAGTTATGCCAAATGACCACAAGTCCATGTGTCTGAGGTATGGAATAGTCCTGTCCTGGTGTCTCAACAAATAGCCAAATCTCAGCTCACTGCTGTTGATCTCTGAGTCACTGATGTTTCTCCGGTGCTTGGTAGGGTCGAGCATTGAGAGTAGAAATGTTATAGGAACAAAATGCCTTCTCAGAGAGAAATCACTCCATATACTTAGCAGTTAATTAATGAAGAGTTCTTTAATAGCCTTTGGCTATCAGAATGGGCAGCACAGACAAAGCGATGTCCATAATGACCTGACCCATAATGGTCAGCAGAGGCAAAGTGAATTTTGGTGGCATGATTCATATGGACTTTCGGTGCTGGTTACTCAATCATGGTGTTTCCAGGCGTGAAATAGGTGAGAACCCTACTCCATTTCTGTGGGATCTATATCAGCAGAAAATTTTTCAAAACAAACAAAAGAAAGGCTACATTGGATCATGGCAAAATGGAATCTTGGGCAATGAACCAGACTTGAGCCAGTTTGCAGACCCAGAACTTCTTGAATGAAGGGACAGCCAGGTTCCCCTGAGGAAGGAACTTGATAAAATACCTAAAAGTTTTATTCTTTGCCTTTCCCCAGTCCTTCCCAGATACAGACACTTAGAAGTTGCAGACTTCTCACACTGGCCCCTGACCTGTGGAATGAGGGCTAGCACAGCTGGAAAGGCCAAATGGAAGCCTCTAGAGTTGCCTCTGCCAGGGAAAATGGCGACTCAAAAACAGTATCAAACCCATGAAGGAACTGCAGAAATTAGTGCTACTATCAACAACTTGAAAGATTCATAAACCTGAGGTATACATAAGTTAGTAAACTCTTCTCTTTAGGGGTGACTCTTATTTGGGGATTAGCCACAAACTGTCAAAAAGTCATCAAATCCGTGGGCTCTCAACTTTGTCTGCTTGAGTTTGTAAAGTAGTTCCCACCAGGGGCTTCTGATATTCTTCAAGCTCCCAGGAGAGGCTTCAGTAACTCGAAGCACTTTGATCAGTGTGACT